CTATGTAGCTGAAAATTGAAATGACCTTAACACCTGATCCTCCTGCCTCCACCTTCCAAGTGTTGGGATCACAGGCACATACCATCAAGCCTGACTTATGTGGTACTGGGGATTGAACCCAGGGTTTCATTCATGCTAGGCAAGCTCTACTGACTGAGCTACATTTTCAGCTCTTATTTTTCTTTTCTGTTACTGTGTTTTTGTTTTGATTTGTGTGTATGTTCTATGTACACATTCCTGTGGATCTGGGCACATGTGTGTGCAGGTGTGTGGAGCCAGAGGTTGATGTTATGTGTCTTCCTTGATTACTCTCAACCTTATTTTTAATTTTTATTTATGTATGAGTGTTTTGCTTGCATGTAAGTGCATCTGTGCATGCAATGCCATGGGAGACCAGAAGAGGGCATCAGGTCCTATATTAGTCACTTTTCTGTTGCTGTGATTGAAACACCAACCAAAACAACTTATAAAAGGAAGAGTTTATTTGAGCTTAGGTTCCAGGGGTACTACAGTCCTTCATGGCAGGGAGGCATAGTGGCTGGAGGTGGCTGGAGCAGGAGCAGCAGAAGTTAAGCTCTCACATTATCAAGCAGGCACAGAGCAAGCAAGAGAGCAACTGGAGATCCAGCTTAAGAACTCTCTAAGCCCACCTCTAGTGACATGCTTCCTCCAGGATAGCCAGACCTTCTAAAACCTCCCCAAACAGCACCACTGACTGGGGACAAAATGTCCAAATACTTGGAGCCTATAGGGGACATTTTCATTCAAATCACCACAGGTACCCTGCAACTGGAGTTAGGGGCGATTGCTAGCTGCCATGTGGGTGCTGGGAACTGAACCTGAGTCCTCTGCTAGAGCAGCAGGTGCTCTTAACTGCTGTGCCATCTCTCAAGTCCCAGGTACCATATTTTATCATTTGTATTTGCTTAGACTACACCTGTCTACTCTATACAGAGTTACTTCTCTGACCTCAGTATTTTGCACAATATGGGATGTTTCAGCACCACTTGAACAGTGTCTTACCACCAGCAGCACAGAACTCCATTCTCTACAATGTGCTAGGTTTAAACATAGTTGTAGCTTAAAAATAATTTTTTTTTGAGACAGGATCTCACGTATCCCAGGCTGGCCTTGAACTCACTATAGCCATGGATAACCTTAAACTTCTGATCTTTCTGCCTCCATCTTCTACATTCTGGAATTACGGATGTGCATCACCACACACAATTAATGTGTTGCTTGGGGGTCAAACCCAGAGCTTTGTACATGTTAGGCAAGTACTCTACCAACTGAGCTGCATCCCTAGCCTGACACAATTCTAACTTTTGGCCTTTGTGTCCTCTGAGATGTATCATAAACTTCTGGTGATAAAATCCAAGATTTTCTGTGTCCCAGTGGGAAAGTCTTGTGCATGAGGCACAGTTCAGCAGCACCTCTTGACAGATTCCTGATGCTGGCAGGGTGATCTCACATCTGAAGACACAGGATTTGTGTGCGTGTGTGTGTGTGTGTATCTATGTGAGTGGTATGTGTGTATATGTGGGAGGTATGTGTATATATTTGTGTATATGTATATATATGGGGTTATTTATGTATGTGTATGTAAGTGGGCAGTGTGCATATGTGTACATATGTGTGTATATATGAGGGATGTGTATATGTGTGTACGTGTGTGTGTATGTGTGTGCAAAGTCACCCTCACTCCAAACCTGCTGGAGACTGGTGGCTGACTCAGGCAGGGGCTACAAGGGAATGATGTAGAGAGAGAGAATCAGGGGGTTCCCAGAAAGTGAGCTGGCTCTGAATTTTCTCCAACTCTGGTCCCTACAACAGGCCACTAAACTGTTAATAGGATGGAAAACAGCCATTGAGGGTTCTCTGCTGGCAGAGAGCTGGAGGTCTCACTTCATAGCCCATGGCACTTTGCCCAGGTCTCTCTATCCAGCACATCGGCAGACTCTATCAGCCTCTCATTCCCGTCTGAGAGGAGGATCCTGGGAAGGCCTGGGCCCAACTCAGTTCTGTCTAGTTCTGTGTCTGCTTCCTGAACCACACCTGTTGTCTTTTCTCTTGTGTAGAAGTTGAGAATGACAGAGGGAGACCAAGGACAGGTGTGTAAGTTTCCTCTTTCTGATTTTCTCTCTTCTTTACAGCAAAGGACAGGTGTGTAAGTTTCCTCTTTCTGATTTTCTCTCTTCTTTACATTCTGTCTAAACCCTATAGGGCCCCATTAACTGTCAAGAGTGCTGTCTTAGAGAGATCAGGATCAGTCCATGAGGCTGAGTGCTAGGAAAGCTAGGGAGGAAAGATGGCAGGCCGGCATCAAAGACAGGCATCACCAGGATTAGAACCTGAGGTTTGGCTTGTGTTCCAATTCCATTCCGAGCTGATTACCACTTTACTAGCCAAACTGGCCTTTGTACAGACGAGCACCACTCCCTATTCAGCCGGTCACTGCCCCATGCCCAGAGGACACAGGGGTCCCCACTGGCCTGGCATGCCTCAGAGGTGCCAGCTTTCTTAAGATACTGTCGAATGGCTCAGACTCCAGCTGGCCACTGGGCGAGGACCCTTGTGTTTTGCAACCTGAGAAAGCCCAGAAGGGCAGACCAACGACCTGTTGCCGCCCAGGGAAAAAGAGTGCAGTGGCCTTTGAAACTGTCCTTTAGTTTCTCCTGCCCCAGGGGAAGGAAGATCCTCCCTGGGGTCAGATGTCGAGGCACCAGCTCAGTGGAGGGTGGCAAACGGCCTGGGGACGCACCGGCAGAGTGAAGCTGCACGGATCCCCGTGCAGTCTCTCCCCGCACTCCCTTCCTCAGGCCGGGAGCTCCTCCTGGCCTGGTTCTCCGGAGGGGTGGGGATCGGCGCAGCCCCCCGGAGAGTCCCAGGGGACCGCGGCCATGTCGGGAACAAAGGCCCGCAGAGGGGTCGCTGAGCGCGAGGATCCCCGGGGGCGGGGGCGACTGCCCTCCCTCCGGGCTCCTCCCTCCTCCCTGCGTCCTCCGCCCTCCTCCATCCTCCCGGAGAGGCCCGCCGGGCGACCGCGCAACTTAGCGGAGCTTCCCCAAGTTGCCTGGTGCTCAGGGCGCTACGAGGCCGGGAGCGGAGCCGGGGAGGCGCGGGGCTTCCCGGAGCCTTGGCGGCAGTTCAGGAATCCAGGCCGCTGGCGGGATCGGTGGGCCGGACCGATCACCGGGCTCGGGGCTCAGGACTGCGCCCGCCTGGCGCCGCTTCCCTCCAGGCGAGGGGACCAGCGCGGCTGCGCCTCCCTCCCCGGCTCCCTGCTGGAGACCCGCGGGGGGCCCAAAGCGGGCGGCGCGGGGGTCGCGCGGCTCCGGGATCTTCCCAGAGGAGTGCGAAGTTGGAGGCGGATGCTGCCGGGGCTGGACGCCGGCCGCCCTGAATTGCACCCGCCCGCCGGGAGGAGGCGGAGGAGGAGGAGGAGGAGGCTCGGCGGCCGGGGTGAGTGGGGCGCGCGTCCCGGGTACCGCCTCTCCTGCCCCGGGAGGAGGCTGCCCAAGCGGGCGCCGTCCGTGTCCCGGAGCGCGCGCCAAACTGCAGGAAGAAGGGGACCGGAGAAGGGTAGGAAGGGGCGTTCCTGGCTCGGGGCAAACCCCACGCGGCCAGGTTCCCGTCTGCCAGGTTCACACACCAGACCACCCGGCAAACCACTGGCGGGGTGTGTGACACCCGCCATGCAGCCCACTCAGCACACGCTGCAGACATGCTGGGTTGAGGACTTTTCAACCCAGACTGGGCTCAGTGCCTCTCAATCCGAGATCTTTGCTGACCCCCAGCTCCCTCCACGTGAAAAGAAGCCCCCAAAGCGCCACGACAGGAGACTAGCTGCCTAGGCTTTGGAAGGTCATGGCTGGGACACCCCCGCCCCTGCCCACCCCATGCCCAGGAATGAGGCGAAGAAAGAGACTGCATTCGGTTCTCCGCCGGCTAAAACAAGGCAGATTTGGTGTGGAAACTTGGTGTTTGCATGATGTGTCCGGGTATGCGCAGCCGTTCCGGAGCCTAGGCGGGGAGACACAGAGTGAGTGATTCATAAACTTTGAGCTGCGGCATCCTGGGGTCTCTGAGTAGAGAGGAAAAGGCTGCGGGCTGGTTCTGCGCCGGACATCTGCATAGTGAGTGTGACAGGGTCTTGGAAAGAAGCAGAGACCCTTCCCCCGGCGGATGTGCTTCCTCGGAGAGACTTCCAGGGGGACCAGTGGGGAGATCCCAGCCCTGGGTGATGTGTATAGGGATACGCGAGTGATTGAGAGTCTAAAGTCAGGGAGAAACCAGGCCTTTCAAGAAGATGAACTTTGCCCCTGAATCTCTGCTCGGTTTCTGATCTGTGGTATCCTGGCTGTGTCCTCAGGATCTTCCTGGGCCTAGTGCAGTGCAAGACACAGTCTTAGTTAGTGACTGCTTGATAGTTGATGGCACCAGTGAGGAATATATATTATGGACTCTGTGAACCAAGCTCAGTGAGCCTCAGCTGGGTTGGCATTGGTTTTCCTGGAGAGGAAAAAGCCCAACTGGCAGAAGGGATCCTGCCTCATCTGTTTGGGGAAGTGGCCCAAGCAGCCTGATCCATGGTGCCGTTGGGCTGGCATTAGGGAATGGAGTCTTCATGGTTACCTCTCCCTCCCTAGAACAAGAGGAAAGTTTCCATTTCACCATCTGCCTAAGTGGGGATGGAACTGGGTTTTGGAGACTGAGCTGTTTGGCAGACTCAGGAGTGAGGGGGCTCTGCAGTGGAAAGTCCCTCAGTCACCCCCTGTCCTGTCAGTGGGGGCAGGTGGGTGAGTGGAAGAAAGAGATGTGCCATGCCAGCAGGCACTGGCACTGGAATAGAGTGACCACAGAACATTGGAAGTTGGGGCATGTGCTCTTGCTGGCTCCTTTAGGCCTGGCTAGAGATGGATATCTCAAAAGGTCAAGGAGTTGTGTCCTCCTGTGGGAGCATGGCTTCCATGATGGCAGCAGGTAAAAGGGTAATTATAGTCCCTGTGTCCGTTGTTCTGTGCCACCTAGCACAAATTTCCCAGAGGGGCAGAAATATCCCTTTTTCCTGGAACTGGGATTGCCAGCATCTGAAACTAAGAGTTTGCAAAGACGCGGGGGTGGCTGTCATTGAGAAGAAACGTGTCCATTCCTGCTCCTGCCCCAGAAGAATTCTGACTAGGAGAAGTGTGTAATCCAAGCTTTTGAATGCCAGCAAAACTCGTGGGCAGGGCAATGAACGGACTGCGGTCCAAGAGGAGAGAGGAGGTGGTCCTGGTTTGGCCACTGAAATTGCAGGTAGAACATGGCAGCCAGTCCCTTCCCATAGCTCCTTCTGCTTTGGTCATGCCTTTTGGAGTCAAGAACTCTACAGATCTGCCTCCTGAAGCTGTTACATTCCTCTGAAGTTTCCATTTCATTTCCTTTTTTACAGGTTAGGAAACCAAACCTCAGAAAATTTAAGTAACTTTCAAAGTCACACAGCTGGTAAGAGAGCAGGCTAGGATTTGAACCTGGAGAGTCTGACTCCAGCATTATGCCAGCTCCTCCATGCTAGGCTGTCTGTAAGAGTTCTACTGGTCTCCATAGCAACAAGGAAACAACAGTGGTGCTACTTTCTAACCTGGTCCTGGGGCCTCTGACTGCCTCCCTCTTTTTCTACACACTCTGCCCAACCTTCCTTGTACTATAGGCCATGGGAATTAAAGCCTGGGTGGTATCAGGCTCCTGGAGCCTTCTGTTTGGCTCTAGAGCCAAGAAACTGGAGGTTTTGGGGGTGAGTACAGGGGCATGGTACATAACTCTAGTGAGAGATGATTCTTTAGTGATCTGAGAAGTGGAGACAAAGCTGCCCCTTATGAGTGTACCCTGACTGAACTGTCAATCATCTGTTCTAAGGGGGGTCACTGTATCCCTTTCCCCCTCTGCCCCTCACTAGCATAAACTGTTAACCTAAGTAAGTCAGTCCTCACCTGCCACTTCCCAGGTAGCTATCAGGTCATGTCACATTGGTCCTTTATAACCTATCACGTGCCCTGGAGAGCTGGACTCCTCTGGCCATGTCTGATAATCAGAAGGGACAGGTGGGGCAGAGCCAGGGCAGCTGGGGAAAGCAATAGCAATAGCTCCCCCTAGCCTCTGCCCACTGGATCCACATAGTACCAGCCAGCTGACCTCACTCGGCACAGGAGGATGTAAGGTCCAAGATTGCTGTAGATGCCTAAGCTCATGAGCTCAAGACCCTCCTGCAGTCACCTAGGCTGAGTAGCTGGGTTTTCAGACTACCTGGTATCCTGTTCTTCCAACTTCTGAGGACTAGGGAGAGGCACCTCTGCTGGAGCAGGGCTCACATCTACTTACAGCATCTGATGACATGGCATGAGAAAAGTGAGTACCCTTAAAAGGAAGCAAGAGGCCTTGAGTGAGTACTGCTCAGCTGACCCTCCACCCACCTTCTACCAGACTCACTGGGTGAGGTCCTAGTACCCTCAAAACATTGAGCTACAGAAATCCAGAAGCCCTCTGCCCCCTCCTGGCCAGAGCAGACACATCATCCAGGATGGAAAGGGGAAGACTGACTTTAGGGCACTAAGGTTAGGGACCATTCATCTTTGTGCCCTGGGCTCCATCCCAGTGCCTGACATCTGAGGGAAGGGGTATTTCAAAATATTGCCAGGTGTTGGATGAGGCCTAGGAGGGATTGTATGGCCCTCTGCTGGGAAACCCACTGCTTCTTAGCTGCCAGGGACTGCTCAGAGAGGTAAAGTAGGTCTCATGCTTCATGAAGTCACTCAGGAAAAACACTTTGCTTCATTCCTTCTACAGAAAGGGACATTTATCAGACTTTCTTCTCTGAGACTAAAGAGAGGATAGGACACTGACTGTCCTGCTCCCAGCATGTGGATTCCACAGCTGGGTGTGGGTGGTGGGGAGGGGGTGTTGGCCTCTGCAGGCTCTGAAACCTTCTGTCTCCATTGCCCCAACTCTGGCTGTTTGCTTTTGGTCCTCAGCCAGTGTGGAGAAAGGGGCTGGCCAGGGGAGCCGCTGAGTCAGTCCAGCTCAGGCGTCACTCCTGAGAGCAGCTACCTTTTCACAAAGATGACTGTGTGAGGAAGCATGGAGGGTTTCTCTGGACTCTGGGCAATTCATCACCCAGGTCCAAGCCAGTACCCAACTCATCCTCTCCTGAAGCCCTCAAATAAACATTCGCCTCTGGAGCCAGCCTGAGATGTTGGCTGGTTACACCTGCCCCGCCCCCGCCCAGCCCCACCCTCTTGAGTTTGGGAGCCTCAAAACCCGGGGAGCACACCCTCCACAGGCCAGACCTTGTGCTGCTGTACTAGACACTAGACGCTGGTGGCTGGGGTCAGGCAGAACATGGGGGAGAAATGACCACCCAGGGCTGCAGCTCAGCTCTGTCTGGGTAAGTGTCTGGCCTGAGAAGAAGGGCAGTTGGAGAATTTGACTTGTTTGTTTGTTTGGTTTTTTGTTCATCTATTTTTTCTTTCCTTCCTTCTTTCTTTCTTTCTTTCTTTCTTTCTTTCTTTCTTTCTTTTTTTCTTTGTTTGTTTTTGACAGAGTCTCCCTACTCCTTGCCTGCCCAGGCTTCTGCCTCCCAAGAGCTGGGATTAAAGGCACATGTCACCATGCCCGGCAGAGAATTTGACTTGGGTAGTGGAAAACAATGGGGCTTTTCACTAGGTTTGGGGCATATTACACATTGCTTCAGGGTGGGTGGGCCACAGTTAATTCTCGGGTCATGCCCCTCCAAGGTGGTGTCCACCTGTGAAAAGACCATCCGATACCCTGTACTCATTTCCCTTGTAGGCGTTCTAGATGAACAGAACTGTCCTGGAGTCAGGTCAGCACAGGAAGGGTGGTGGTATGAGGTCACCCATGGACATTTCTGTATCTTTGAGATGCATGGCAGATCTCTGGCGACAACTACAATTTTATTTAGTGACTCACTAAAACTCTGTTCACAGTGAGAAGTAGAAATGGGCTGTGGGTAAGGGCAGCTTCCAGCCAAAGTGGGCAACTTGGGAATCTTCACTCAAGACCAGGGAGAGGCCCAGGCCCTCTCCTATCCTGCTGTGCTGACCTGGGTCTATAAAACCTGAAACCTGTGGAGGCTGGGAGAGAGACACTGCCTAAATGCTCTGGGTGCTGCTGTCTCTAAGCTGCTGGAAAAGGGAGTCATGGGATGGGCCACATAGTCTACAGACTTTTTCACTGGTGTTAGGGATGGAACTTAGAGCAGGATGAAACTTAGAGCAAGCAAGCTCTCTGCCACTGAGCTACCTCTCCAGCCCAATTCTGCAGCCTTGGTGGGCGGGTAGGTCATACAACCACACATAGACCAGCTTGACTGGGCCAAAAACGCACACACACACACACACACACACACACACACACTCAGATTATGTTCTTCCACTCAAATATTACAACAAACTCCAGACATATAGATACACTCTGAAACATTTCCAGTCATAAATGCATGCATACACACCCAGATCCACAAAGTCGAGGTCATGTTCATTCGAAAGGCAAATTATGAGATAGTTAAGAGCATGCCGGACAAAACTACTTAACCTTCCCGGGACTTTGATTCCCAGTCTGTGAGAAGGGACTGGAAATAGCACCCTACTGTGCTCTGCTGTTTTGAGTTAAAATACACATAGAGTTTAAAATTGGACACAATATGTGCTAGGTATGTGTTATTACTGGCACCTACCAAGCACACCCCTGTGTCATCTATTTACAGAGCTGAGGGTGCAGTGCATCTCGGGGATGTCCATGTCGGTGAACAGGGTCCATACTCTGTGAGCCCTGATTCTCCAGGATGGGAGCACCTCTGTGTTGGACCCTCATTGGAATTTATTAAGAAGGCAAGCTTGTCCTCCCACTGGAAGCTCATGTGGGAAGGAACTCCTTGGAGAGTTAGTGGAATTCCTTTAGCACCAGTTTTCAAACTAAGTTCTACAGAGTCCCCAGTTTTGCAAGAGAACCTTTGAGGCTAGAAGCAGGTGGGGCTGCAAACCCCACTCTTCCCATTTATCTGATCTACATATTAGACTTTTGAATGAAGTTCTGGGTCACAAGAAAACACACAGCTGGGTGTGGTGGCACATGCCTATGGTCCCAACACTCCGGCGGTAGAGAATGGTCTGGAAGTTGGCAGTGTATCTGCAGGCTCTTGGGCTTTTGGTGTGTACAGGCCCAGGTATCCCACTAGCTGGCTCTACCTGAGAGCTGGCCCCACCCACAAGCTCTCCTCCCAACTTCTCTGTCTCCCTCGCCAGCTGCCTCACCATCTGCAGGATTCTGGAAAGTGCTAGAGTGTCTGAGCCAAAGCAGTGCTTATCTGAGGAAATATTTTGCAAACAAACAGGGCCACCCCCTGGCTGTGACTGCACTGATTTTCAGCAAGGAATTTCACAACTCAAAGCATGTAGCCACAGGGAGGCTGTGCTGGCTATTGGTTTCAGCTCTCTAGAGACACCCAGAGGCTGGTCAGGGACTGAGAGTACCTGGCCTTCAGGCTAAGGACAGATGCCCAACTCTGAAGCTGCTAAGTCCTAAGGGAGTGATCATCTCCACAGAGAATGAAGAACAGGAACTCTCCCGTTCACCGTTCACCGAACTTGAGAGACTGGCTGTCTGGGTTGCTAATTCCTTTTGCACCTTGCTGTGGTGTCTGGGGCCAGGACCCACAGGAAACAGAAGCTTCGAGAGTTTAGGATGCCAAGACAGCCCCAGCACCTTCCTACATCCCCTCATTGGCTTCCCAGGATGCTCTTAAGAGCTGCACCATCGCCACCACCATTTTACAGGCTAAGCCAGCCGCATCCTGGGCTGGCAAGCGGCAGGTCCAGAGACATACTCACCCAGTCATCTATAAGCATCTGCCATGCTGTGGCTGCACCTATGGCCTCAACAGAGGCCAGAATGCACCAGAGGTGGCTCGGGGTTGGGGGTGTCGCATGGCCCACCGTGGGCACTTCAAGAGGAAATACGGCCTTGACTTTCTCTGGTTCTGACCAGGCATCCACTGACTGACTAGGCTGATGTTCAGACCATAGAGTGACCTCTTCGCTAGACCCAGCATCTGCTTTAGTGACTTAATGAGCCAGGGGGTTCTGTCAGGCTGAGACCTCCTGGATGATTATTCCAGCCAGACAGAACCCGGCACTGGAGGAAGTGCAGAGCTGCTGGGGAAGGGTGGCCTCCATGACTCTGTGATGTGTTGAATAGTTCTGCTTCAGTCTGTTCCCATGTTCCAAGCTGCCCTCATTTCCTGGGCACACAGCCTGCAGTCTGCGGCCTTTTCAGCTGTCCAGGACACCCCCCCCCAGCTCTTCCTTTCCCATGGCATGCATGCCACCCTCTTCCAGAAGCCCAACTGGGTATCCCCATCATCATGGCATCTACATGACCCACACCCTGCATGCTACCCTACACCATGGCAGGTGCCAGGACAATTGGTCCTGTTAGGGAGTATGGGGAGGGGAGTCCTGGTAGATGGGAGTGACCAGGAAGGGCTGGAAGAATGGGAATCTGGAAACATTACAAGTCCATTCATAACCCCCTGGGGTTGGATCAGAAACCCCCAGAGGCCTCTTGATCCATCCCAGGACACCTCTGTACCATGCTGCTGGCTGGTGCATGGGTACCCTCCGGGCTTCCCGCTTATCCGCAGCGTTCCATAATGCCCAGCCCTGTCCTCTCTGTAGATACTCATTCAATCTCTCCAGGGTCTAATCCTGGCTCTGTCAATAGAGGCCTCTGAGGCTGTTGTTCCTGTGAGCACAGAGGACAATCTCCCGCTGTGGGCTGCCACCTACAGGGTGGGGAGGAGCTGCTCTCACACTGGATCCAACTACAGTCCCTGATATACCCTTCCAGAAGTTGTGGGGCCTTACATTCTAAAGTTTTTGGTTCGGGTACCTTATGCCTCAACCTGCCCAACACTGCGCAAGCTCAGCTGGTGATAATAGCAAGAGGTCCTTTCCTTTTGTAGAGGGGCTCCAGTGACCACCTGTGAGTCCAGCTGGGATGAAGTCAGGGTGAGGAGTCCAGCCAGACTGAACTGTGGTTCTCAGGGTATAGAAAGAAGGCAGAGATAGAACAAGATGGAATGTGGCTAAGAGCCAGCCTGCCTGGGAAGCCCCATTTGCCCTCACTGGCTGTGTGACCAGGATCAAGTTGCTGAACCTGGGGCAGGAGAGATGGCTCAGCGGTTTAGAGCACTAGCAGCTCTTGCAGAGAACCTAGGTTCAAATCCCAGCACCCCCATGGTGGCTAACAACCGTTTGTAACTCCAGTTCCAGGGAATCCAACACCTTCTGTCCTCCAGGGCACTGTACCATACCGGGTGCACTTACACA